CAGTCATAAATTTTGTTTGTAACTCTAAAAGAGATTCAGCTTTTCCTGTTCGCTAAACCCTGGGTCTGACAGTAGAAGTTCATTTCACATTACCATGGATTGGCAAACCTGTTTACCCTGCCTGAGTATGTGCATGCACACACACACACACACACACATACACTCACACACAAAAGCACACAAATGCACACATGCATATACACACATACACACAAATAAATACATGCCTTGGAAATTTCATACATGAGCAGAAATAAACCTAATAAAATGGCTGGGAATTTTTTTTTAAAACCTCCTAAAAATAAAGCAAAATGGAAAAGTGATAGAAAATGAGAGAAAATATAAGAAAATTATACTGCCAGTCTAGGAATCTAACATATGAGTAATAGAAGTTCCTTAAAAGAGAGAATGAAGAAAGATGAGGGGAGCAAATTACTAAGAAAATTAATAACATAAGAAAATACTGAAACAGAACAGGACCCTGTGGTCCTTGCTCCCTACCATATCCTCTGCCTTCCTTTTGCCTGTGGAAAACTTTAGTCAAAGAATAAGTTTAGTCAGAGAACTGAGAAATGCTGAAACAAAGGAAAACAGTCAAAGGAGACTAAATAATAACAATGTAGTCATTAAGCATAGTCAAGGACTTTTGGTTCTTTCTCAAGGGCTCGAGATCATGTTCTGAGCCATATTCTGTGAGCTGTCTTATAGATACCAAAACAATTCTGAGAACTGACCACAAAGAAATGGGAACACGTGGACCCTGGGACAGAAGATTAACTGTACCTAAAACAATCAAGATGATGCTGGTCAGACCACTGATGATCAATTTGAAGATGACTGTTAGAGATGACTATGCTGTCTCTGTATGTAACCCCCACCCCCCACCAAATCTGTCTATAAAAGCTCTCAACTTTTATAGACAGAGGGAATCAACCTTTGGATAGATGTCCCCCACCCTCCCCCTCAGTTGCCCGCATCTAAAATAAAGCAACCTTTCCTTTCCACCAATCTGGCCTGTCTATTGGCTTTTGAGCGGCAAGCAGCCAGAGCCACCATAAACTCCTCTCGGTAACAAGATCTCTAACGTGAAAGATATGAGTATTCAGAATGAATGGGCCCATCAAGTGCAAAGCTAGTGAAAGCAAAGAGCACATCTTTTCACACCACTATAAAGAAGAGAAGATCCTAAAAATATCGAGGAAGAAAACAACAACAAAAAAAGAAATGACATCTGATTTCTCAATATCAGCAATGGAAACTAGAAGATAATGACGCAATTACTTAACAATTTGGAATGAAATGTTTCTAAACCTAGAATTATATATCCAAGCTACCAGTCAAGTGGGAGGGTAAAACACAGACATTTTGGATTTCCAAGACCTTAAAAACTGATGTGCTCCCAAAACAATGCAAAGAAAAATACACAGAATCCAAGAACCAGAGATCCAAATCAAGACAGGAAAAGGCTGACAGCAAGGTCCAGGAAGACAACAGGCAGAAGTCATTTCAAACAGTCTAGAACTGGGCAGTGGCAGAGGTGAGGTGTTTATCCAAGAGGGAAGACTCAAGGGAATGGGGGAAAGAAAACATATACAGTAGTTACTTGGAGAAATAAATGGCAATCCACTTCAGTATTCTTGCCTGGAAAATTCCATGGACAGAGAAGCCTGGCAGGCTACAGTCCACGGAGTCGCAAAGAGTCAGACATGACTGAGCAACTGAGCGTACATATAGAGTGAAAGCGAAGTCGCTCAGTCATGTCCGACTCTTTGCGACCCCATGGACTATAGCCTACCAGGATCCTCCATCCATAGGATTTTCCAGGCAACAGTACTGGAGTAGGTTGCCATTTCCTTTCTCCAGGGATCGAACCCCGGTCTCCCGCATTGTAGGCAGAGGTTTTACTGTCTGAGCCACATATAGAGTAGTTGATATATTTCAATGCTGACAGGTAATCATTTAAAACTAGACAAAGGGGAAAAAGGAAAAACAAGGATTAAATTCTAATGGAAATTTTGTACAAGAAAAACTGTCACCAGCAGTCATTACAAATATTTTTATAGTCATAATAATGTAGATACTAAAGTCCTAAAGGAAATCAGTCCTGAATATTCATTGGAAGGACTGATGCTGAAGCTGAAGCTCCAATATTTTGGTCACCTGATGCAAAAAGCCAACTTATAGGAAAAGACCCTGATGCTGGGAAAGATTGAAGGCAGGAGCAGAAGGGAACAATAGAGGATGAGATGGTTGGATGGCATCACTGACTTGATGGGCATGAATTTGAGCAAGCTCTGGGAGTTAGTGATGTACAGGGAAGCCTGGTGTGCTGCAGTCCATGGGGTCGCAAAGTCAGACACGACTGAGCGACTGAACTGCACTGCATGTAAATACTAAACATGATTTATCCAAAATGGTTTATGACTATTGGTAGAGGGGAGGGATGCACGTGTATGTGTGTGCACATTTGTGTTAGCATGTTACTTAGAATGTGGAGGGAGTTTGTTTAATAAGAAACAATTCAGAAAGTGGAAACTGAGGCTGAAGGTGGCCTGACACAGTCTTCTCACCCACCTACTGCTTTCACTGTAACTCCCAGCATTAGTATTAGTAGCTCCTTCTCTATAATGCATTCTTCTACTTACTCCTTCCTTTCTATCCACTTGCTGCACATCAACCTCACAGTAGTCACTTCTTCCAAAAGGCCAGGAATAATCTGCACATCCATATACTGAGATGCAAATATGGTTATTTGTCTGCATGCCCGTCTCTTCAATTACCAAAGGTTCTTGCTCTCTTTGTGAAACATGCCCCTTTGGAATCTGGTAAAGTGTGTTATCTTCTCAAAACAGTATTTTTACGTGTATAAAACAAATTACAAAAGAAGCCAATTACAGTCACTCCTCAGTATCCATGGGGGTGTGGTTCCAGAACCCACCACAGATCCCCAAACCCAAAGAAGCTTAAGTCCCACAGTCAGCCTTCCATATCCATGATTCAACCACTCCCAGATTCTAGTATTTATTGGAAAGAAAAAACCCGTATGTAAATGGACATGTGCAGTTCAAGCCCATGTTATTCAAAGGTCGACTGTATATTGAAATATAGTTATTAGTTATCAACATATTAAAAAAAAATAGATTGTGTAGGTTAAAGGCTAGGTTGCCCGGGAAATACACACCAAAGTAATATAGCTTTTTAAGATGATGTCTTGATCCAGTTTTGAGGCTCTGGCTAGAGGCTGGTCAGTTCCCTGACTTGAGCATCTAAGCCCACAGCCCCCAGTCACCTCCCTTACTGGGATCTCATATTCTGGGCCACTACCTACCTGCCCTCATCACCCCTGAGCCAGGTACCAAACAACTGGGGATAGCTCCTATGCTCCAAAGCCTGCTGAAATTATTCAAATCAGCCAATCCTCAACCTGCTTGCCCTGCTTGCTGGCTACTCTGTCCCTGTGATTTTCCAGGCAAGAATACTGGAGCTGATTGCTGTTTCCTCCTCCAGGGGATCTTCCCCACCCAGGGATTGAAACTGTATCTCTTGCATTTCCTGCACTAGCAGGTGGATTCTTTACAACTGTGCCACCCTGGAAGCCCTCTTTCCTATGGAAACCATAATAAAGGCTCATGCCCACAGTTCCCTTCTCCATCCCTGCCTAGTGGTCAACCCCAGTGCCCCCATGTGTGGCACCTCATGGTGTGATATGTACTCTGACTCTTGGGATCTGCGAGTATAATAAACTATCTTTTTAATAGTAGTCATTTTCTGTCATCAAATCTAAGTAAAATTACACTTATTAAAAAGGCTGAGATTCCACAAGATTTGTGCATACAAACGTCCTCATGAACAACTTTGAGAGTGATGGAAAGACAAGGCAAAGGGAAAAATCGAACTGTGATGCAGTCAGAGTGGGAGCCTCAGCTCATCCTAAGAGCAGCTCTGAAGCTGCGATAGCCCTTCCGAGTTGTCCCCCTTGAGGCTAGGGGCCTGGGCTTAGGTGCGCTGCAGCCTATCTCCAGAGAGGGAATATGATTTTGCCTGAAGCACTTCTCTTAGGCACGGGGCAATTCCTGGAAAGAGACTTCAGAGATGCACTAAGGGGATACAGAAAGATATATGCTTTTTATTTACATTTTAAATAACAAGATAAACTTACTTTAATTTTAAAGTAGTAATGAATAGTAGTATTTTGAGACAGAAATAACAATCATATGTAACATAATTTCTCTGTAATTGCTATCAGTGCCACATATAGCTAACACTACCAGGATTTGTCGCCTGCCTTCCTGATGGAAAAAAATACTTTCTGTTAGAGGCAAGCGAAAATACAGACCTTCAAATCCACACAGATGGTTGGATGGCATCACCGACTCAATGGATATGAGTTTGGGTAAACTCTGCGAGTTGGTGATGGACAGGGAGGCCTGGTGTGCTGCAGTCCATTGGGTCGCAAAGAGTCGGACACGACTGAGCGACTGAATTGAACTGAACTGAACTGAAATCCACACACTCTGTTAAGAAGACCTGTGGAGCCGAGAACTTTTATTCATTTCTGGATCTCCAGATTCGGCCACAGCTCTGCATACCTACTGATGTTTCTTGAGTCATTACTATAATTAAAACTGACGGGATACAACTTAAAAGGTAGAAATTTTAAAACTCTTCCATGGCTGATTCATGTCAATGTATGAAAAAACCCACTGAAATGTTGTGAAGTAATTAGCCTCCAACTAATAAAAATAAATGAAAAGAAAAAAAATAAAACTCTTCCAATGCAACGCCTCCGCAGCTTAAAGCGCCTGGCCCTACGGAAAGTCTCTGTTCAAGCCGAGAGGGCTCTGTCGGCTCCGCCAGGAGGGGCGGGGCCAGAGAGGGGCTTTACCTTTATAGGCCGAGGAGGACAGGAGGGGCGGGGCCTACTCCACTGTGACGGACAGAAACCCTCCCCCTTCTGCCTTGCGCCCGCCTCCCACGCGCCCGGAAGTCCTGCCTTCGGAAGAGGAAGTAGCGGCGTGAGCGAGAGCCGGCGGTGACCCGGGCAACAGCGGTGACCGAACGAGGGGAGGGGAAGGTGGTGGCGGCGGATTGCTGCCACTCCGCGCCGGAGTTGGCGGTTAGAGGCGGGACCGGCAGCCGGGTACAGGAGTCAGGTGCGGAGGGGCAGGCTGGCTGAAGCAGAGGCCGGGGGCGATGTCTGGGATCCCGGGACTCAACGGTGCCACGCGCGGGGACCGTGAGAGGAAGACTGCGGCCGCGCTGTGCCCTCCGCTGACCTTTCCTTCCTTCCTCGCGTCTCTTTTCTGCTCCATACTCTTCCCAGCCCCTTGCCTACCCCTAGTGCCGCGGGTCTAGTCTGGACTCGGTGGGCTTCCTCTCTCATCGGATCACCACCTCGGGACCCTCTTTCCTCCAACCCCGGGCCTACAGCCCCCTGGCTATGACATGGTTTCTCAGGGACCGCCTCACTTCACCCGCCAAGTCCGCACACCCTTAGAAACGTCCCCCCAAAGGTGTAGATTTCACACTAGTATGTCCCAAAGGGGGTGATCTCTTAAAGCTGTCCCTCATCAAAGTGGAGGGCGAAGTGGAGCCCCTGCCCAGTACATTTCTATAAAGGTGACAAGAAGGAAAAACAAGGGTTGGCCAGATTAAGAATACTAAGGGAGTAGGGGGAACCCAGGCATCAAGCACTCATCTCTCTGGTTTGGCCCGTGTGAATTTAGAATCGCTTGGATTCAACACTGCGAGTCCCACCATGGGGTTGTCTGCATCCACCCCTGCTGCTTCGGTTCAGACCTCTACCCCTGCTGCTTCAGATCATCAGACAGCAGCCCCAACGTCTGGATGCCCAATGCATGAAGGGAAAGTGAAAGGTAATGGACCATTTATCTAGAAGATAAAGAGAGAATTCTCAAAAAGAACTCTGAGGAGGCAGTATAGCATGCTGGTGAGGCTCCTAAGGCCTGGGAGTGGGGTGACCTGGGTTTGGTCCTTCTGTTGTTACTTACAGGGTATGTGACTGTAGACAAATTACTTCTCTTAAGTCTCAACCCATCATCACCTGTAAGCTGAGGATATAGTATTGCCCAGGGTTGTGGTCATGACTGAGATCGTGCATAAGCGAGGAGGGATTGCTCCATACATCAGCCCCCACTCCAACAAATTGCTAGTGTCTACTTTAGTGGATTTTTAAGCTGGGGAGGCAAGCCCCCCTCAGCCCAGAGGACACTTGGCAATGCCTGGAGGCCTTTTTGCACATTGTAACTTAGAGGGGAGGATGCATCTAATGAGAAGACAGGAGTGCTGCTAAATATCTTACAATATACAGTGCAGAACCTGCAACAGACAGTCACCTGGCCCCGGATGTCGAGAGTGCCCAGGCCAAGAAGCTTTGGTCTAGATCACGTTGTCTTTCTTTATCCAGACAGCTTTACTCCTCCCTCTGTTGGATTACTCTCTGTATAAAAAATAAGTCATTGCCTGATGGATTTGCTGTTCATTTTTTTAGTGCAAAAGTGAGACTTGAAATGCTTTCCTTTTTCATTGGTCCACCTGCCGCTTTAGATTGTCTTTGTAAAAGTATGGCCTGAATCCACCAGATGTGTGACTTCTTGTTTCCAGACATGAGGGCAGGAAGCAGTTAGCTTGCTTACCTAGTGCTGACGCTTCCTGTGTTATAGCTGTTCTTTCCTTCGATCGGCCCACAAGAATTTGCTCCCTGCCCACCCTGTGCCAAGCACTGAGTGGTTTTGTGTTTTTTTCCACTGAGAGAACAGCAGTGTCTAAAACAGACAAAAATCCTTTGCCTGGTGGAGTTTACATTCTCATCCTCAAAATCCTGCATGGTACGTCTCCCCCAACTCCGACCCCTTGTTTCGTAGTTAAGAAAACTTACAAGTCACACAGCTAGTAAGTGGCAAAGCCAGCAAAAGTTCTGGGGCCTTGAATAAGGACCAGTCCAGTGCTCTAGGGTTTCTCCTTACAGGCAGAATGGAGGCAGACTTGGAAGAAGCAGGTGTGTGTCTGTTCTGAGCATCCCCAGAAAGTCACACAGCCCTGTCTAGGGTCTGATTTCATTTGCTGTGTTCCTAGGAGAGCTGTCAGATGAATTTGCATTAGGAAAGAAGATGGGTATCTGTAGGAGACTGAAGGGGCTACTGGCTCTCTGATATGAAAAACATAAACAGGATTTTCTTTCCAACACCAGTTGGGACCAGTGTTCCAGAAGAGATTGGCGAGGAGAGGGGTGGAACAAGTCTCCCTCCACCCCTGAGTAGATAGCTCTGCAGGGTCCTCGTAGAGGACCTTTTGCGTGTAGGGCGCCCAGAGTTCAGTGTCTCCTTGGTGTTCACTGCTGCTGCCTAAGGTAAGGGTTCCTTTACACCAGCTGTGTCTTCCTGGGCCATAGCTCTCCCCTTGCCTGCCCGCCTCCTGTGTCTATACCGCCTTCCCGGCCCGCACACTTGTTTCCAACAGCACCCAGGATCCTTGGGCATTGACTCCCCCACCTGCTGCTGTTCTCGAAGTGGCATCTGGATCCCACGTGGACTGGGGGACTTTTTCTTTAGTGGGTGCCTTTGCTTAATGAACTTGCTATCTCCTGACAGCAAATCGAGCCTCGGCCAAGTGGTCTAGTTTTAGTCCTAGAGCAGGACAAAGCATAGCAGCATCCTTAATCTTCTCCACGACCCTTTTGGATGGCTCCTCTGCTCATTTTTATCTCCTGTCCCCAGTCCCTGAGAGAGGACGTCCATAATGAAAGCCTGGCCTCCTGTGCCCTGGTGGGAGTTGGGTCTTGTCTGGAACTGGGGAATAGAAAAGTCAGGGAGACCCATTCATGGGGGGCCCTGCCCCCAGAGGTACCTCTGTAACAGCTCATAGCAATTCCCTGCTCTGTTTCCTAACACTCTGCTGTGGGCAGTACCTACTCTTGCCAATGCTGAGACTCTGGGGCTTTATTTTTCTTGGGGGAGTAACACAATAGGAGAATGGGTACCCATTTCTCTTTTGAGGGGAAGGTTAATTTATGGAGCCTCTTCCTGGTCTGTAGGATGTTAGATTGTCGGCCGGCTTAGCTCTTGGTAGCTGTGACCAGTAGAATCCTGACTTTGGCTGTGCCAGTGATCCCTGACTTTTGACTTTTCGGGGCCCAGATTGAGAGCCAGATGTCCTGCCTTTGTGGTGACGGTGTTTTCACCCTTCGTCTCTTTCAGGCTGTCCAGTGAATGCCGAGCCATCAGACTCAACCTGTGGGAGCAAAACGAGCTCTGTGCCTGCACACCAGGAGCGCGCCTATGAGTACGTGCAGTGTCCCATCACCGGCGCCAAGGCTGGGAACAAGGAGAACCTGGATCCTTCGAACCTGGTAATCCTCGACCAGCCCCTCTGCCCGGAAGTTTTTAATGTAGGGATGCTCTTACAGGCTCCCTAACTACAGGCTGCTAGGATTGATCCTTCTGTCCTTTTAAAACGGAGAAGTCTGATTTTCCATCCATAGTGAAAAATCTAGACTCTGTCACTAAGTGTAGTCTCAGAGAGCGCCTGGGAAAGTGATGGGCTGTCCCCAAGCGCCAGAGCAGGCTTACCTGGAATCAGCCACACCAGAGGATGTTGCTTTGGAGGTAGAGTATTTGGTGGGCGGGAGGTCTATTAGGAGCATGGCTAGAATTCAGAAAGATGTTGCTGGTTTGGGGAAACACCATAGGCACACTGCAAGATTGGGGTGCCTCTTAAGGCACAGCTGGGTGCCAGCCGTGTGTGACGGCCAGTGACAGAATGCCATCGAGAAAGTGGTGGTATTGTGTTTTGTATACATATCAATACACATACACATCTATCGCTCCATCTTTTCCAGAAATTTGTAGCAGTGCCTGCCCATCATGGTATTAGTTTTTCCTTTCTAATCCTTGAGAAAGAGACCAAATGTTTGACTGTAGCATGTATTTACCATTTATGAAGTCAACAAGGAAAAGATTTTCTGCGCTCTGACTCTTCACAACTGAGAGGCCTGAAACTGATGTCGCTGGTTTAATAAGGAAACTGGGCTGTGTATGTGTTGCCTTGCTTGCCAGGAAGTAATTATGTTGCTTGTTTCTACTTTGTGTTTCCAACCTTTTTTTTTAACCCACTTATTTTACATAGATGCCACCTCCTAATCAAACACCAGCCCCCGACCAGCCGTTTCCACTATCTACTGTGAGAGAGGAATCGTCTATTCCGAGGGCAGGTTCAGATAAAAAGTGGGTTTATCCTTCTGAGCAGATGTTCTGGAATGCGATGTTAAGGAAAGGGTGAGTGAGTGAGCATATTCCTGGGGCTATAAATTTGCTTGTGAATCTAACCTTTTTAACATTTAATTTTTAGATGAATCTAATCTAAGAATTCAATGTTAGAGGTTTTATCCCCCAGGTGTTACTAACCAACTGATTTTTCAGACTTAACCAGAATATAAGTGCAATGTATTAGGATTCTCCAGAGAAACAGAACTAATAAGATATATATATCTTACTATATGTATAGAGAGATTTATGGTAAGGAACTGACTCATAGTTATGAAGGTGGAGAAGTTCCACAATCAACTCGGCAGGTTGGAGACCCAGGAGAGTCTATATTTCAGTTCAGGTCCAAAGGCAAGAAGAGAAACCAATGTCCCTGTTGGAAGGCAGGCAGGCAGAAGGAGTTGCCTCTTGCAGAAGCTCCGCCTTTTTGTTCTTTTTGTTTTGTTTCAGCTTTTAGAGCTGGGCCCTCTCTGCCCATTTAAATGTTAATCTCATCTAGAATAATGTTTGACCAACTATCTGGGTACCCCATGGCCCAATCAAGCTGACACATAAAACTAACCCATCACAGCCAGTTTTTTTAAGCACCACTGCTACATAAAATACTTAGAAAAGGGGAATTTGTGATACTAATTGAAAAAGTGTCACTTGAAAAATCAAGGGATCCTTGATATTTGGATAAACCGGATTTTTGGTGACACAGTGAAATGAATACATGGCATTCGCAGTAATCTTTGTCAAGTTTTACCAAATGTTCTTTCCTAGGTGGAAATGGAAGGATGAGGATATTAGTCAGAAAGACATGTATAACATCATTAGGATTCACAACCAGAATAATGAGCAAGCTTGGAAGGAGATTTTGAAATGGGAAGCCCTTCACGCTGCGTAAGTATGTTCTAGAGCTTAAAAAACCATTCTTCCAGCATCGTCCTGATTTCATAGCTGCTTTCTATGAAAGAAATATAGAAGAGCTTTAGTCTAACACTGTGCTATTCTATTAAAACATTTTAGGTAGCAGGCCTGTCTCAGTGACTTGGTGACAGACTGCCCCACTCAGCCATGTAAAATGCCAGCTATTTAATTATGCTCGTGGGTTCAGTGAGTCCCAAGTGCAGAAAGGACAGAGCAGGGATGGCTGGTCTCTGCTCCCTGATGCATGGGGTCGCAGCCACCAAGACTTAGTGGTCAGGCATGGCTGGACAGCTGTGGGCTGGAAGCCTTCGAAGGCCCCATTTACTCCCCTGGTAAGTGATACCATGCCAGCTCTCAGCTAGGACTCCTGCCCATGGCCTCTAAATGTGGCTGCTTTGGCTTCTTCACACCATGGTGACTGGGTTCCCAGAGCTAGAGTTACAGAAAGCTCCAGGGACACTGCATCTCTGTGATGACCGAGTCTGGGAAGTCCCATGGTGTCACAAGCCTGCCCAGATGCAAGGGGAGGGGCTTAGACCCCAGTTCTCAACAGGACGAGCATCACAGTCCATTCCAGGCAGAACACAGGGGCTAGAAACTCTAAAATGCTCTCTGCCCCAAGGGAGCTGGGAAAGATTTTGTTCACACAGCAGCATGTATTGAATCCCCATCAGGAGTAAACATCAAGAGGCATCTTTGCACATGATCATTTTTCTTGGGGAGATGAGGCTTCCCTGGTGGCTCAAATGGTAAAAAATCTGCCTGCAATGCACAAGACCCAGGTTTGATCCCTGTGTCAGGAAGATCCCCTGGAGAAGGGATTGGCAGCCCACTCCAGTATTCTTGCCTGGAGAATCCCATAGTCAGAGGAGCCTGGTAGGTTGCAGTCCACAGGGTTGCAAAGTTTGACACGACTGAGAAACTACACACTTTTTCTCTGGGAGACTAGCTAAATGCAGTTGTGAGTTAGTGGCGATGGGCCATCAGTCTGTTCAGAGCCATGGTCCTCACGCCTGAGCTGCCTCAGCATCACCTAGGGGTTTGTTGCAATACTGAGCGCTGGGCCCCGCCCCCAGGATTTCTGATTCAGTCGATCTGGGGTGAGCATTTCCAGAATGGTGCCTGTTTGAGGGCTCCACCTGGAGAAGGGTAGGGGATGGGGCGTGTCTCCACGAAGCCAGATGTCATCATGGTTGGTGGCTCATGTTTTTAATTCATGGCAAAATGTGATTAACTTCTTGGACAAAATCCACTTAATGTGGAGACCTGTGCTGCAAGTGTGCTGTTGTTAAAGCTGAGAATGAAAGGAGCTTGGCTAGTCCTCAGCTGGGGGCCCATCACACGTGGGATGCTTTGCTCCATCCCAGTTCATTAAAGAGAGACCTGTCTAGGCCAAAGCCTGTCTTTACAGTGACAGCAGCTGCCAAGACAAGTGGCCTCTTGTATTTTCCACTCCCCCTGCAGGGGACAGTGCTGTGTGCCTTATGCCAGATGACCAGGAGACTCACCCTGGGCCCCCGTGAGTTTGGGGGTGGGGGCTGGCAGGGCACCTATAAAGTTCAAGTCCAGGGTCTGCCCAGAGAGTGAGTAGATTGTCTCAGCAGGACCTTGTCCCCCCACCCATCAGCTTGTGTACAGTTATTTAAAGAGATGGTCCAATACTGATTACAGTAGTTCCTAGGGAGAGCAGCGGTTTTCTTAATGAAGGTTGCTCATTGGTTTCAAACGAGAGAGGCATATAGGGTTTTCTTACATTCATCTGGAAAAAACCCCAGCTGCTCTTTGTGCAAGAGGAGAGTTCCTGCCTGATACCTGACCTTTTTTCCTGAGAGTACACCATGTGGACAGGCCCTGACCCCCGACTCCTGCCAAAAGCAGCAGATACTCAAAGGGAAGGGGAGGGAATGGCATGCACTTGATCCAGAAGTTAAAGCATTTTTTTAAGCAAATAGGGATATTTCTGTGAGGTTTTTCAAAGTTACCTTTCTCTAATATTATGTAAAATGTATACAGAAAAATGTGTGTCATGGAGAAACTGCAACATTGGTTCTGTTTTTCAAGGGAAAGAGAGTTACCTTAATAGATATTTCTTCTTTGGGGATTTCTAGTGAGTGTCCTTGTGGTCCATCCCTGATCCGGTTTGGAGGCAAAGCCAAAGAGTATTCACCACGGGCAAGAATTCGCTCCTGGATGGGGTGAGTGTCTGCAGAAATGTCCTGTTCCTGAGGTCACGGTCTGCTTGCTCTTGGCATTAAAACCAGGCAGTCGAAGAACTGCGGTGCCGTCTTGTGAACCATGCTTCACTTTCAGCTGCAGACCTCTGGTGCTCCCTCCAGGTGGCGCTGGCAGGCAGCTCGGGCTTCCTTCCTGTCGACTTCTCACGGGCTTGACGGGAGTCACCTTCTCTGTGTTCTCGCGCCGTCCCCTCGCTCCTCCCACACTCTCGCTCTGCCCGCCTATGCACGCCACGCTCCCTGTTGTGGGGTTCACAGCTCCCACCTGCTTCCCTGTGGCTCAGCTGGTAAAGAATCCGCCTGCCATGCGGGAGGCCTGGGTTCGATCCCTGGGTTGGGAAGATCCCCTGGAGAAGGGAGAGGCTACCCACTCCAGTATTCTGGCCTGGAGAGCTCCACAGACTGTATAGCCGATGGGGTCGCAAAGAATCAGACACGACTGAGCGACTTTCACTTTCTCCTGCATTTCTGCAGGTGCCGAGCTGACCTCCCCAGCCTGGCTGTGCTTCCTGCCATTGACCTTCTTCTCTTGTAGCAGATGAGCTGTCTGCTGATGGGGGCGCCTCCCGCTTTCCAGCCCTGCCTTCCCGCAGCACTGTGGACCGTGCTTATCGGAGTCTCACCTTTCATCCAAGGTGGACTCCGAGAGCCGGCCTCCCTACACACTGCCCTGCTGGCTTTCTTGCCACCCAAACCCCAGCTCAGCATCGCACAGGCGTGGTAACCCCCGCCAGCATGTCTTCATTTCAGGTACGAGCTGCCTTTCGACAGGCATGACTGGATCATCAACCGTTGCGGGACAGAAGTAAGATATGTCATTGACTACTACGATGGTGGTGAGGTCAACCAAGACTACCAGTTCACCATTCTGGACGTGCGGCCCGCTTTGGATTCGCTCTCGGCCGTATGGGACCGGATGAAGGTGGCCTGGTGGCGCTGGACTTCCTAAGCACTGCTTTGTCAGAGATGAGAAAATAGAAACAAATTTTTTTTCTGAGAAGTACATTAAACTATTTTCCCCAAACTGAATTGCACTCCTGATGTAACAGGGATGTCCAAGGGGTCACCCTACCTTCTATACCACTTAGCAAAGGGTACTCAGCATGTGCTCTTCTGAGTTCCGTTTGTACCTTACAGTTGACGGCACATCATTTTAAGTTTTCTTCCCATGTAGAGAAGTGGTAGGCCCTCTGAGTTTTTCCTTTAACTGCAGTATTGTCTGTGTATTTGATCTAAAAAGTCTAAGCTTCTGCAAAGACCTTTGCTGAAAATATGAAGAGAGCTGCTCTTTTCCCTCCCTGTTTTAAATACTGATGCATAGACCTGAAAGCCCACGGGATGCTCAGCTTTGACCTGGTCCAGTATTTTATTTAAAAGTGTTCTGTTAGGCTTTTTTATACGAGTTACCAGCATTTCTCAAGTCCATCAAATATAGTGGTGACCCCTGAAGAAAATACAGCCACACACTGGCAATGTACTCAGCCAAGCTGAGGTGTGTGTGTCTTGCCCTCCAAATTCTTGCTGTTGTGATTTCTTTTTTCAGACTGGACCTTGATCCAGAATAATTTCAACTCCCCTACAACTTAATGGCACACATGTGTTGGGAGTATGTGTCTTAACTTTTTAAGTATTTTCCTTTTAATTCCCATTGTTCTGACATGTAACTGTGTTCCATGTAAGCAGGCTTCACTGTTCTGGCATTTGACAACTTACTCCCATTCTGGAGTTCATCCCTTCCCCTGCCTAAAGCCTTCCTCTTGTCTGCCTCGCCTGAACCTTGAAGATCTGGCTGAAATCACAACGCTAGGGATGGTCCTGCTCTAAAACATGGTATATTATCCATTGCTAGAATTCACAAGGAGAATATTTTTCCCAAATGTAGAATGGTTACATCAGCTCACTCTTCATTCACATCTGTTTTTTAAGGGATTTCTAAGTTTGCCACTGAAATTCTTTGTATCAGTCACCCACACACTGGTTGTTCAGTTTACAGCAGCATGATACGACTGTTGGTTTTTGTTTTAAGTGTTTATAGTATTAACTCATTTATCCTGAATATCGTGGAGTTAAGTTGGTACATGAACTTAGCAGTCTGGAGTGATTCATTTGGTATGAATGGTGTGTCTGTGTGGAGTTTCAAAAATCCAACAACCTTAAACTACGTTTCAAAATATTTGTGTATTTTCAAAGAAAATAAAACTGAAACTTAACAGGTTTTGAAAATCTATTAAGAGTAATTTTATACTTCATCAGACAGAAATAATCTTTACAGAAATGACGGCTATAGTCTTTCTGCTGGAGGTAGCCATTTTCGTCATTGAGCACATACTTTTCATCCGCTGAGGAAAGGAGTTACTTTTGGCATGTTTTTTGGTCCTAAATGCCATTGAGTAAGTACAGGTTAAGGCATTATTATGAGAAACCAAGTGTTGTATCTGGAAACTGAAAATTGAGCCACAGGCGGGGAAGCACCCCTTTTTAAAGGATTCTAATATTCTTGAGAAAAACCACCTCTAAAATAAACTGTCTTGTGAACCTGATGACAAGATACACCGTCCACCTGGGGAGAAAAGACTACAGCCTATTGGATGTTAGAGCTGCTTGGTGTCTAAATTATACTTGATCAGGTCCAGGAATCAATACTCTGTTCTGATAGGAGATTCCATTTATAACTTGAAATCATTTTGGATATTCTCCAGGCATTTAAGGTACATCTTTCGTCATAGGCTATTCAGGATTAGAACAAAGTACTGCACTCGAGGCTAAGGATTAGCAAACAAGGTGGGGGTGCCAACTGGGACTGCAGATGAAAATTTAGTAAGTATTCCTAGTAGTGCCCTGACCCCCATCCACTCATGAAATGTTTATGACACTCTACATCCTATCGGGAACACAAAAATGCGAAAGGTCCAGCCCCCACCTGCAGGGGACTCATAACCTTAGGGAGGACAGTCTATAAATGCAATGCTGATTTAAAAAGAGTTGTGTTAATCCATCGGTTAAATGCAAATTCACTTAAGTATTTTTTAATATATATTGAATACACAGTTACCAATTTTTTAATGAGACACAAGTACAGTTTATCCCCCATCAGCTACTCCTCCCTAACTGAAGAGTTGCACATTTCACACCTCACCGCTGCAACAACATGGGAGTTATACCATGAATCATTTTTGTCACCATAGGCTTGAGGCTGCGTGTGGTGATCAAGAATACTTTTTCTTGAAAAGATACCTCCACCCCACCCCACCATGTTCACTGCAGCATTATATACAACAGCCCAGAACCACCTGTGCCTGCTCATGAATGAGTGGATAAAGAAAACGTCATATCGTGTGTGTTTGTACATACATGCTAAGTCACTTCAGTTGTGTCCGACTCTTTGCGACCCTATGGACTATACCCTGCCATGCTCCTCTGTCCATGGCATTTCCCAGGCAAGAATACTGGAGTGGGTTGCCATGCCCTTCTTCAGGGGATCTTCATGACTCAGGGATCAAACCTGGGTCTCCTGCATTGTAAGCAGATTCTTTACTATCTTAGCCAGTAGGGAAGCCCAATTAAAGCTCAATTTTTTAAAAAAAGGAAAAACAAACCCGTGTCCTGGGGGCAGACGGCTGGTTTAGAGCCACTTCTCAGCCTTTCACTTGCTATGTAATCTTAATGTCTCTGGGCCTCAGCTTTCTTGGCCATAAAGAAAAAAAAAAAAAACAAAAGAACTGAGTGGTTTTGTTTGTTTGTTTGGGATGCTGTTACAAATACCATCGATTGGGTAGCTTATAAACAACAGAAATTCATCACTCACCGTTTCCAAGGCCAGAAAGTGTCAGAGTAAGGCGCTGGAAGATTCTGTGTCTAAGGAGGACCCGCTCCCTGGTTCAGAGATGGCGTCTTTGGGCTTGTTCTTGTGAACGGGTAGAGCGTGGGGGTCTCTTACAGACCCACAGTCCCATTCCCGAGGCTCCACCCTCTTGACCTAATCACCTCCCAAATCACCTGAACCCACTGGGAGCCCACAGCCTGGAAAGGCTTAATGAACATCAGCTGTGCCTAGTCATTCACGAGGAAAAGGTGCAGCTAGGAATCAAAGAAGAACTGAGAAACAGTACCCACCTCTTGCCTTGCTTCTCCCAGATGAGTCTGTCTAAAGAGGGAGCAGAAGGTCTCCTTTTGATTTTGGTTACTCCTAAGAATTAGCTTTCTCTAAAGGAGCCCATGTTCTTTAAAACTGCTAAAGGGAAAAAGATGGGTAGCAGTCTTTGACCTTTTAAAAAAACCATAAACATGACAGGGTGACATTTGGTTTTGTACTATGCCAGATCTGCTTGACAAAACTAAAGATTATAATTAGGCTGTTGTGCTTCCTAACCTGAGATGTAGGCCATGGTGTCCTCAGGATGACAAAAGTGTCCCTTCCATGGAAACTTCAAAGGTGCATGCTTGCTCAGTCCTGTCTGATTTGATTCTTTGCGACCTCATGGACTGTAGCCCACTAGGCTCCTCTGTTTATGAATTTTTTTCCAGGCAGGAATACGGACCTGGATTGCCATTTCCTCTTCCAGAGGATCTTCCCGACCCAGGGATCAAACCGACATCTCCTGTGTCTCCTGCATTGGCAGGCAGATTCTTTACCACAGAGTCACCTGGGAAACCCAACTTAATATGTCTTCAGATTAAAAACATTACAAGGTTATGTTTACTGCAAGTAAAAGGTATGCAAAATCAATTCAAAAGCAATGCATCACGTAGAAAGTATTCTAATATTTTTTTTTCTGAAATCATAGCAGGTATTGAAAAGTAAAGTTTCTAAGAAAAGTTTATTTGTAGGGAGCCTACATCTATTTGGGCAATGAGGCTTATGTTTATAATTAGCTTTTACTTCGTGCTTTAAAATATACATTGTCACATGTGACGAGGGCTGCAGAAACTTCATATGGAATGGTATAACACAGGAATTGTGAGAAACGATTTCACCCATAACAGTTGAGTGGAGTCCTGATGGATGATTAAAGGATATTATCTTGGAGCTCTGTGCAGAATCACCCTTTTTTTTTTAAAGATTATTTATGGCTGCACTGGGCCTTGGTTGCTGTGCACCAGCTTTCTCTAGTTGCAACAAGTGGGGGCTACTCTCTAGTTGCAGGCTTCTCGTTGCAGAGCATGGGTTCTAGAGCATGGACTAAGGAGTTGCAACACTCAGGCTCAGGACTGGTGGCACACGGGCTTAGCTGCTCGGCATGTGGGATCTTCCCAGACCAGGGATTGAACCCGTGTTCCCTGCATTGGAAGGCAAACTCTTAACCTTTAGACCACCAGGGAAACCCCAGAATCATCCTTTAAACACGTTGTTATTCTTTTTACATTTAGGATGAGTTACTGTGACGAGTTCCTGTGGCCCTTCAATGGCTGGGTGCAGAATATTATCAGGATGTTTTTGGCTGCAGTTAACAGACCCTGCTGGCACTTGCATCATTGGGTGTGTGCCTGGTCAGCTGAACCTCTCCAGATGACTCTGCCTTCCATGCACAATTTCAACTTCATCTTCATAGGTTTCCCTGGTGGTTCAGATGGTAAAGAATCTGCCTGCAATGTGGGAGACTTGGGTTCGATCTCTGGGTCGGGATGATCCCCTGGAGGAGGGCATGGCAACCCACTCCAGTATTCTTGCCTGGAGAATCCATGGACAGAGGAGCCTGGCGGGCCACAGACCACAGGGTCGCACTGAGTAGGACATGACTGAGTGACTAACATTTAATGGGCTAACTCGTTTCATCACCATCAGATGCCTTCTACTAACAGATGCTGTCTGAGCTTTAGATCCTTGCTTATGGCTAGTAGATAAGAGATGGAGTGGGAGGGGGAAGTCTCCCACAACACATGGAAAATAAGGTTTCTCTTTAATCAATTTGGGTCAATTTGGTACTAGGCCTGTGTCCTCATACCCCTCCCATTTTACATTCCCAGGAGAGTGCCTGGTGCTTAGATTAACCAGAGGAATCATCTGCAGAACACTGCAGTGCCCACTAGAGAATTATATCACCAAACAGTGATAAAATCCCAATGATAAAATGAAAAATAATTTCATTATTTTTCCTTCACTCTCATAGATAGGCGTTTCAAATGTGGAGGCGGTGGCTAGTGTAACAGAAGAAGACAAGCTTGGGGATCTTCATTTCTGTGTTGACTCTCTGCATTGGCTAGGGGGTTTGAACAATGACTTTAGGTCTATAAGGCTAACTCACTTCATTCTTTTTATGGCTGAATAAGATTCCATTGTATGGATGGAGCACATTTTTTTTTTAAATCCAGTCCTTAGTTGATGGACTTTTGGGTCTTTCCATAGATCCTCCTAAAGGTTCCTTTATGACCATAATTCTAGGTTTTATGTGGCCTCTTTCTCTCACATTTGATGGACTGGGTAGTGCCATGTTTTAAGCTAAGGAAAAATAATGTGCTTTGAAAACCTACTTCAGACTAGTTTTTACATAAAGTACATCAGTGGATGCACTCTTAAAATTTCACACCATTCCTGGTTAACCAGTGCTTTCTTTTTCCTCTATAAAATGGGCTTAGAAACAAACCAAAAGTCCATCAACTAATGACTGGATAAAAAAAAATGTCGTCCATCCATATAACGGAATCTATTCAGCCATAAAAAGAATGAAGTACTGATTCCTGCTACAAGATGGATGAATCTTGAAAAGAATGTGCTAAGTGATACAAAGGGCTGGAGACTGTTTGATTCTATTTATAGAAATGTCCAGCATAGGTAAATGTATAGAGGCAGAAAGTAGATTAGTGGTTGCCATAGTTGGGGTGAGGGAGGAATTGGGAATGAGTGCTAATGGGTGTAGGGTTTTCTTTCAGGGGTGATGAAAATGTTATAAAACTGATGCTTGTGCAACTCTGTTACTCTACTGGAAACCACTGAAGTGCACACTTTACATGTGTCAAGTGTCTGGTTTCTAATTATAGTTCAATAAATCTACTTGAAAAACAGGGGGAAAATGTGCTAGCTGATCCCTCTATTAGCTGCATAGTCAGTCTACCAAGAGTCAGTAGCTCAATTAAGTCAAACAAAAGAAGATGTGATATAAATGCATAAACCAAATCCATACCTACAAAAGAATGGTTGAGAAGAGTTGAAAGCAGAATCAGTATAAACATGGCCATGAAATCGGAAAGGGTTGGGGAAACACTGTAAAAATCCAGGAGAACTCTTGGTTC